TAGTATTCCAAAGGTTGTAGGTTCGAATCCCACCGCGGCCGGGCATATTTTTCAAGCTCGCCCGGTGTGGATATGCACTCAGAGTAACATCACAAACATATTATTCACCTGAGTACACAACACCAACACAAAAAAAAAAAAATTCATATTACAAGAACACATTGGTATTGAAGGAACTAGATACTGTTCCGAAATATCACTTACTCGAACTGTCCTGACCGCGTAGCTCAGTTGGAAGAGCATTGGGCTAGTATTCCAAAGGTCGTAGGTTCGAATCCCACCGTGGCCGGGCATATTTTTCAAGCTCGCCCGGTGTGGATATGCACTCAGAGTAACATCACAAACATATTATTCACCTGAGTACACAACACCAGCACAGAAAAAAAAAATTTTTTTTTTAAAAATTGTTTATTAACAAAAAGTATATTTTACAAGTTATTAAAATGTTCTCGAAGTTTATCTTTGAGATAGTTCTGATATGCCTTTTGTTCATCTTGTTCCTTGCTCTTGAACCTTTCTTTCTTTCCTCTAACATAATATATAAAGGTAGGGGGACTGCTGAAGAGGCACTCTGAAACAGGTTCCAATGGATCTGCTTTAGGATTAGACAAATCGCATAGAACTTCGATTAATGTTTGATTGTCCCGGTATTCTTGAAATAATGATTCGATCAGCATAAGATCAGGGTTTTCTTCCAAGCTCAACAAGTGTTCCGTAAAATATTTCTCAAACGGAACATTCAGGATTTCAATAACATTGGTAAATTCACACCAGACAGCGTAATTAGTTCCGGCTTCCTCTATAGCATCAAGACCATACATCTCCCATTTTTCAAACTCATCCAACATTAAGCAGTCTTGGTCACGGATTTTACACCCGCAACAAAACAGGCTAAATTTCCTTTCAATGTTATGTGCAATGACCTTGGCGTATATTATTTCTATCAGACGAAGCTTTTTGTTTGAACCGTTCATTGTGAAAACCAAAGTGTAAATGAATTTGTATTACTGATCGATTCAAATATACCCCCATGTTTTCACCAACACATTTCGCTCCTGCATACTCATTACTTCCGGCGCTCTATTCGCTCCTGCATACTAGTTACTTCCGCCGCTATATTCGCTCCTGCATACTAATTACTTCCGGCGCTCTATTCGCTCCTGCATACTAATTACTTCCGCCGCTATACGGGACTTCCGCCGCTATACAGACGGCGTAATACTACTGACGCAAACCGTACCGTTTGTATTTATGCCGACTTCGAATGCTACATCGAAGGGATGGACACGGTTGAACAGAATCCAGACAAAAGCAGCACCACCCAATACCAAAAGCACAACCCCAGAGAATTCTGCTACTACATCAAATGCTTCGATAACAGCATCTACAAACCCAAACTGGCACACTACACCCAAAAAATACGAAGGAGAAGATATTACTAAGAAACTCGTAGATCTATTGGAAAAAGAAAACTGTGACATCTACGACAAGTTTAGGGACATAACACCCCTCGAAATGACATCTGCAGACGTTGCAAACTACAAAAATGCAACCAAATGTTACGTGTGCAATGATGAATTTACTCCGTCACTACACCGGAACGTACAGAGGTAAGGAACGTACGATGAAACAACCCAAGTTTATTCCAGTGTTGTTGCACAACTTAGAGGGATACGACTCCCACCTATTTGTGAAAAATCTTGGGGTTAGCGAAGGTAATATCAAGTGTATCCCTAAGACTGAGGAAAAATACATCTCCTTCAGTAAGGAAATAGTCGTCGGCAAATACGAAGATAAAAATGGTAAAACCAAACCAGTCAAACGCGAACTACGATTTTTAGACTCGCTCAAATTCACCCTTAGTTCGCTAGACAAGCTGACCGGAAATCTGGGTAAAGACGACTTCGGAAACCTAAACCTAATGACATCCCACTGCACCGAAGAGCAGCGGGAACTCCTAAAACGGAAAGGTGTATTTCCGTACGAGTACATGGATGGCTTCGACAAACTGGAGGAAATATCACTACCATCAAAGGACAAATTCTACAGCAGACTAAACAACGAAGGTGTCAGCGTTGCGGACTACGAAAGAGCATGCAATGTATGGAAAACCTTCAACATGCAAACAATGAGGGATTACCACGACCTGTACCTGAAAACAGACGTGCTGCTGCTAGTCGACGTCATGGAAAATTTCAGAAACATCTGCAAAACACACTACGGGTTGGATCCAATGTGGTATTACACAGCACCCGGACTTGCTTGGGACGCTGCGCTGAAGTTAACCGGAGTTGAACTGGAACTAATATCCGATCCCGACATGTACCCGATGGTTGAAAGCGGAATCAGAGGTGGAATAAGCACAATCACAAAGACACGGAAAGGCAAACAACAAGTTCATGAATAACTATAACCCGAGGAGGAAAGCAAATACATACCGTATTTGGACGCAAACAACCAGTACGGATGGGCAATGAGTCAACCTCTACCTGTGGGTGGATTTGAATGGATGACCGCGGACGAAATGCAGCAGTGGGAAAATCATAGCAGTATTCTGGAAGTGGACTTGGAGTACCCCGAAGAACTCCACGATCCTCATAAGACATAACGAGTACCCGCTGGCTCCGGAAAGGTTGAGGATTAATACTAAGCAGACAGACTAATTCCAAACCTAAACAACAAGGAAAAGTATGTCATCCACCACGGAAACCTAAAGTTATACCTTAAAGGCCTTGAATTAAAGTTAACCAAAATCCATCGCGGAATTAAATTTATCGAAAAACCGTGGTTGGCTGAATACATCCAACTTAACACGGATTTACGAACCAAAGGAACCACTGACTTTCAAAAAAGACTTCTTCAAGCTAATGAACAACGCCGTGTTCGGAAAAACGATGGAGAATATTAGGAACAGGGCAGACATAAGACTCGTCAACAACGAAATGAAGCTAAACAAGTTGGTCCAACAACCTCACTTTAAGTCGGTAACCATATTCTCAAAGGATCTAGTGGCTGTACATATGAAAAGGACGGTTATAAAACTCGTTAAACCAATCTATCTGGGTATGAGCATACTAGACATTAGCAAAACCCTCTTGTACGACTTCCATTATAAATACATCAAGGAAAAGTACGGGGAAAATGCCAACCTGTTGTTTACCGACACGGATTCGCTGTGTTATGAGATCAGGACCGACGACTTCTACAAGGATATCGCAAATGACGTTCACGATAAGTTCGATACCAGTAACTTTGATGAGGATCACCCATCCAACAACTCCGTCGGAATAAATAAAAAAGTCATTGGTATGATGAAGGATGAATGTGATGGAAAACAAATTTCAGAATTCGTAGGACTAAGATCAAAGCTGTATGCCTACAAAATGGCGGAAGATTTCTCAGAGGAAAAAAATGTAAGGGAGTAAAAAAGGCGATGGTTAAAAAGGAATTACCTTCGACAACTTCAAAAGATGTCTGTTCAGCGGGGAAAAGCTGTGGAG